CGGCTATGACTGGGTGGATGACTTAAAAGCCCTGACAGGTGCACTCAGGCACGCACTTGCCGCATGCATACTCATACTCGCAGTCCGCTACTTTGTTGTGCTAATCCTATTGGCATGGTGTTGGCGTACTCCTTTGGCTACATTGTTGCTCCACCCAGAGCAACACATGCCCCACAAATACCTACACGCAGAAAAAATGGTGATTATCAGAGATGGCATGAAAATCTCTTCAACCTATGGTCAGAATGAAATTGAAATCTTACTGCCATAAAAATCTCAGCTAGATACGGTATTCGCTAGATTCGTATAAAAAATTCGATGGAAAATTTTAAAAACGTTTTACATGATGTAGAAATTTTTATGGAACATTAAATACTTATATCTAGTTAAATACAATTCAGTAGATTTTGTTTAATTTAAATCGAAACCTTATGATTGTTTAATTATTCGTATGCATACCTATTATAAATTACTTAAATTTCAGACTTTCCTGCTTTGTTTTGTCTGTAATGTTTTCTAACTATCCAACATTAATTGTCTCAAGCTGTAAACACAATGTGTTCAGAGCTACAGAGACAACAAAATCATTTTCCCTCGCCCCTAATTGAAATCGATAAGTGGCTTGTCTTAATTAATACAAAGGAAGGTGCCGGCAGGGGCAGCTACAGGATTAATTATCCATTATATGCACACATCCTGATTGGCCCGCACCTGTCCAGTTCCCAGAGCAATTCCCCAGTCAATAGCAAGTCCTTAATTGCCGACACCTTTCAGTGCCGCTGGCCAACTCAGAGCCCGGTAAGTATGTGTGCCCGGCACTGCATCCGTCTTCCTCTGGCGGCACAATTAATTCCTCCTGCCAGGCATTGCAGTTAATTTTTATTTCATTAACGCAACAACACCACCCACAACCACTCACATTCACTTTAAGGGCATCCGTGCATCGCTAAGCGGCTTTGTCTCATTATCTGGCAGGTGCACGTAGTACATATGCGTCGCATTCGAGTGTTGTCGGTAGCAAACTGCGAGAAAATTAAGTGTTTCAATTCCGTGGAGATTTCCATTTCACAAAGTCGTGGCCAGAAGCCTTTTCTCCTTTTGCAGGCGGGTTTATAGTGCGTAACGCCATCAAAAATAGTTAACAGCATTGAAATGCTTTTAGCTAAAATGCGTTGCGAGTCCTGGCTGTGTGGCTATGCGTAAAAAGTTTTGCTCAACTCGCAGTACGAGGATGTGGGCGGCGGTGTCCTGCGTGTCTGCCGTAATGCTTGGCAAATAAAATTATTTCAGATTTTATGTCCCATCCCCATGGCGCCCACCAGGTCATAATATTACCCATCTTGGAAGCGCTTTAATTTTTCCCGTTGCCACCTCATTTTTACCGCAAAAGTTTGAAATTTTCAATGTTTCCATTGTTTTTTTTTTGTTGCTGCGGGCCCATTTGAAGAACAACGAAAATTTTTATGAGCAACGAGCACAATAAATATTTGTTTGTATAAATAAATGTTTTTTTTGGCATTCAATTTTGTCAGCATAATATTCATAAAGCTTGTTTAAAAAAAATGCATGTGAGAATTAAGACATATTAATGAGAAACTTCTGAGAAAGAGATCAACAAAGTTTTTAGGCTTAAACATTGCCGAAATAAATAAATTATTCCTGCAAAACTTTACCAAACTTGTCAAATAGTATAGTTTAGAAAATAATAAGTTAATGTATTAATATATGAAGCCAGTTACTTTAGAATAGTATAATTCATTTAAACCAAAAATTTCTAGCCATGAAATTTAACTTTTTTTCAATTGGTTGGCCACATATATTAAAATGGATGAAGACAGCAATGCATTCTTGGTTATTTACATACAATTTAATAAAAAGTATATTCCAGCTTCCCTTAATAAGGTTTAAATAAAGGTATTTTCACAAGCTTTCACAAAATTGATTTAAATGGCAATATACAGTTAAAATGGTGACTTGTTTGACTTTGTTTGTTATGTGCAAATACGAATTATTCGAATTATTTTTTTAACAAAGTTCTGAAATACGTTTGTTTTGATAAATTATATTTTGGGTTTTTAATATGGGAGATTGAAATGGTATCAAAATATTAGAAAATTATGAAAAAGATTGTACAAGATTGTGAATGATAATGTACAAAAATATTAAACACTTGTACAATAAAATTGGAAAATTGCAAAAGTCGGCTAAACTTTGATAAATTTAACTATGCAAAAATATTCATTTGAAAGGTGTTCATTAATTTATTGATAACCAGAATCATACACTAAACAAAAGTTTGCTAAAGTTTGTAAGTCCAAAATCTTCTGAAATGCCCAACGTTTGCATTCTCAAGTGCTACTTAAACCAAAGACACCCCCACATTTGCTTACCCTGGGGAGCGGCTTAGTGTCTTTAAAAGCTCGTACCGGGAAGCGGCTGGAAAACCCTGCTCGGCTTTGTTCACTGGTAATTGCTTTTCCTTTCAGCCATTGTGCTGGGGGATAAAAGCATCCTCTGCTGGCGACTGTCCCGCTTTCGCTGAGCGATTCCTTGTGGGCCGACGAACACGCGAATGGGCAGGGAAAAACTCAGGAAAACCACAGAACACACGGGCAAACAAAGGTGTTGGTTGAAAGGAGGTCCTTTACTTGCGACCAGCCAGCCAGTTGCAGGAGCAGCGCGTCGCGTTGCTGGCCAACTTCAAATCCAAACTGACCGCAAAACATTTGCACTTTGGACTTTATGCCAAAGGAGGCGGCGTTGAAGCCAAACGGAGTCGTCGGCAGCAACGTTAAGTAATAACAATAAAAACCCAACCAAAGGCAGTAAAACCCAAAAACGCGAATCGAATCGCTATGTGGGGAGAAATCCAACTTCCAGCAAAAATCGCAGTGTTGCAAAAGAAATTATGGACGCGTTGCTGTTGTCGCCGCCGCTGTTGCTGCTGTTGCCGCTGTTGTGCTAATTTGTGTTGTTGCGGCTTTCGCACATCAAACAGCAACAACCGCCTGTTGTTGCTATTGCTGTTGCTGTTGCTGCTATTGCCGTTGTGGTTCTGTGGGTCAGCACGAAAAATGAAGTTGACCCGCTTTCCGACGCCGCAACGGGAAAAATGTGGAGCACAGGGCAGAAGCAGAAAGCAGAAAGCAGCGCGCCACCACATTTTCGAAGCAGAACACTTCCGAGCAAATTTACATAGGTTGGGCCAAGAAATTATGCATGCCTCTGTTGATATTGAAATGTCGAGCAGCGGCAGGTTGAATTCGAACACCCACTCGGGGAAAAGCCAGGAAAAGCGAGGAAAGGCCAGGGAAAGCCTGGGAAAGTCAGAGGCGAGACTGGTTTCACTTTCGGCCAGAATCGCCATTTGCAGACGATAAACACGTAAGGCACGAAAGGCAAGCAGAATAAACTAGGCGTGGCTACGGCAGCGTCGGCGTTAGAGCGAACTTAACGTCGACGTCGATGGCGGCGGCGGCATGCAAATTGGACTGAGTACGTATGTGTGCAACGTCTCAGGAAGTCGTTAGAGCGGGTAAGGACATGCCAGAGACCAAAGCGGCAACCTTTGTGGGTCAAAAGCAAAAAAACAAAAAACAAAAAGGAGACCGACAAAAGTGTGCCACCACAAAGTCAAACGCAACAAAGGCGAAACAAAAAGAAAAGAAAAGAAAAGAAAAACAGTGTCCCGCTTTTGACCACGAATAAATCAGTGAGCCAACAATGTATGGCGAGAACTTGGCACAAATCCATTAACATTAACACTCACATTTTGAGTCGCATGCAGGAGCCCATTTACGTAAACTTGGCCAACATGGCAAGTTGGGCCCAAGACAAACGTTTTGTTAGCTAAACAAAATGAAGTTTTAATAAATTCATTACCCTGCCACTTTATGGCACCATCCCCCACATCCTCGCCAGATTCGATGTCAATGCCGATGGCTTGCTGCACAGAGAGTCCTGCATTGCTTTGCTTTAGTGCAATGGCAGACATTACGTATACGCCCCGTACATTTATGAACAATCAACTTTATAGCCCACAAGCAGTGGGTGTGTGTGTATGTGTGTGTCTGTACTAGTTTATATGTTTTAACTTCCCCTGCCCCCAAGCTGCTCTGTTTTATTGGCATTTGCACTTGTGTCTGACTTTACCAAGATATTTTCAATTGGAAGTTATGTGTCGCAGGGAATTGTCTGCCCAAGTGGGTGGTATCGTATGGATGGGATGTGTGCAACACAACAATTTAATGGCTGGCAGCTGACGAATGTTGAAGTCGCTCGATAAAAATGCTGAAATAGAGACATGACTACACGAGTATTGAATTGTAAATAAGTGGGGGGCAAGAATGCTGGGTCAATCATTTAATTGGGAGACAATAGGATGAGCTGCAAAGCTGAATAGCTTTATGAATTTATTGGTTGCATAAACAAATACCGATTTCTCCACTTAGTTACATAATTTTCCGCAATCAGGAAACCCCAAGGTCAGCAGTGTCCAAGAGGGCATTTAAAAATGTGTTAGCCAGCGCAAAACAAACGACACGACAAACTAAAATTTCCCGATTACATCTTGAAATGAAATAAATTATTGTGCACATCGCAACGAGCTGACCCAAATACACAAAGCGAAATGGGGATGGGGAATGCGAATGGGAATGAGAATGGGAAAGCAAAGGACCAAGAACCAACGACAAAATACTGGCTGCCATTGCCAGCTGATTATCGCTAATTGTGCCCAAGGAAATAGAAATTAAACGAGACGGGATCGAGGACGGCCTTTATTTCCTGTCCAGCGCATGTACGAGTGTTTCGCTAGCAGCGTTTAATTTCATTTCGGGCAGGTCTTTAAATATTCACTGCAATTTATTTGATCGATAATTGAGCAGGGCAAGGTTGACGATTTGCCGACAAATTGGCCCGGCCTTTGATGGGCATTTAAATTGAGATTAATTGAGGCACCGAATCAGGAGGTCCCGCCTTCAATGTCAGTGGTTTTGACTCTTGAGCAGTAGAGTAGAGCAGATCTTAGAGTAGCAGGCTGTCGGCAAAAGAGGAACAAAGTAAAAAAGTAATGTCTCAGGTAGGCTGTGAAATTCGAATCTAGAAACTTATATCCAAAACGGACTTTCATCGGCATTATACTTTTGTCTTTCCAACAGAAACATTCGAAGCCTGACAAGGTTAACAAAATTTCGGTATTGCGTAAAATGATAGGCCTTCAAAAAAAGCGACCAACAGCCGGAAACTACGTAGTGCCCAACAATTCGGCCCTGAATCTGCAGCACAAGCCAGGCGTCTACGATCCCACGCCCAACGCCATGGAGAAGTCCACCAAGTGTCGCTATTGCGAAAACATGGCCAAGAACTTCCTGTATCTGGAGAGTCTGATCCGAAACAACAAGGACAACGACAAGACGACCAAATGCAGTCTGTGCAGCTCGGCGCTCAAGTATCTGGAGTACGTGAACCGCAATATCCGTCAGGTTTTTGGCAACTTCGATGCGATTGTGCAGGCGGATCGCGCTCTGGCCGCCAAGCCAGCCATGATGCCCAAGTACTCGGTGGCCGGGCCCCCAGAAAAAGTTGATCAGCGTGCCAAGGGCGGCGCCCTCGTAGCGCTCCAAAAGTCTGCCAAAAGCCTCAAGACCAAGGGCTCAACTTTGAAGTCCAAGTCCCAGGAGAAAGACGTTAAGGGCCAGAAGTCATTGAAGTCGCTCAAATCGCACAAATCGACAAAGTCATTGAAGTCTACAAAGTCCACAAAGTCAAGAAAGTCCCACAAGTCGGCCCTAAAGCTCTCCAAGCCCTCCAAAGGACTGGCCAAATCGAAGAGCATGGGTCCCAAGAGTCTGATCAGCCATGGCAAGATGATACTGAAGCGCAAGTTCCGCAACAAAGTGGCCAGCAAGTTGGCCGGCGCCAAGGTGGTGCGCAGTGTTAGCCAGTACCGCAGCCTGGCCTCTGCCCGCTCCAAACTCTCGAAGGGATCGAGCCCCAAGAAGCTGGCCAAGCAGCGCTCCACCGGTCCGCCCACCAGCATCAACTGGCAGCTGCTCAAGCGGAATCTGCCCAAGCGGCCCACTTCCGTCAAATAGAGGTCGGGGATCAGCAGAATTGGCTGCGCACATTGCTATCTGCTTTAGATTAGAAAAACTTCGTTAAAATTTTGCAAGTGCTTTTTGACATACATAAAATGAGACTTATACAAGCCAAAATATTTTATTTGGGAGTAGTTGTAACTAGGAAGTTGTCAGTCTTCTACACAGTCTGATATCTAACTTATGAAAGTTCAGATTTTGGAAAGGTATTTACGAAAATAGGTACTTAGTTAAAGCAAAATATACACCATAATTCAAGTAGATAGGTAAGGTACAAAAAGGTTTAAAACAAAAATAATATAAATAAAAGATTATATTTTGTAGAATCATGTAAGAAAAAACATCACTATATCTCAAGTTGCAATGAAATAATGATATTTTTATATGCATATGCTATAAGCAAACACAAGCTAATTTAAAGACAAACAAATATCTTACAAATTTGTGCCTAGGTAACATACGTACTCTTGTGTATCAAATATATAGAAAAGTAAACGACAAAGAATTTTAGTAGCCAAGTCTCAATACCAACATTGATTCGCCTAATGTTGCCATAAGAAAAGTTGGTTGCTAATCTTAGTCCATTGAGTTACGCATCCCACCCTCTCAGAAATATGCCTGACCTGAGACATTTTTTGTTCTTGCAGAATTGAGATTGTGATTCTACACGTATAGATACGGAATACGGAGTCTCGGCTCTTGAAATGAATATGCAAGTGTTTATAGTATCGCCACTGGCGCGCCCCGAAACCTCTGAACCCACTAATCTTAATGCCGATGACTTTGGATCGTGAGTCGAAACACAATTCATTTCGTTTTCGCGACGAGCCCAAGTTGATAACACTCTTCAAATACATAACAACAACGTTTTTGGAATTAGTTGCTCAGAAACATTCAAATTGAGTGGTCAAAATAATTTAAGATGTTCCAGTCGGTTACTTTTTTCATGTGCGTCCACATTGCTAAGAACTCGCTTGTATCGTTGGCAGGTTATCAGACAAATGGTTACGATAATGGAGGTCATTGCAGTTCATATATCCGTTCTGAACTGAATTCAGTGGACACTAAAATTTCTAACACTATGAACGAGCTAAATAAGATCGATACTGCCCAGAGGAACATGCAGGACGAACTAGAATCTAAAATGATAAACATGGAAGTAAAAATGGACGCACACCTGTGGAAGGTACAGACTGAGCTGGAAAACCAACCCTGCCAGAAGACAATCTCTCAAGAGAACTACGAGTCAAGACTTCAGGAGCTTAAGTCCAAAATGGAACAGCAGCTGCAGAGGCAGACTCACAACCAAATGGATCTAAGTAAACAGCTTTTACAGGTGGAAACGAAACTGAAAAACCAGAAGACAACCATCGAGAACTTCGTAGATAAGATCACCAGGCAACAAGCCTTCGAGAAATGCCCTCAGAAAACCATGACGAAAGACGACTTAGAGAAAATTTTACAAGCATTTCAAATCGAAATAAAGAAGAAAATTAGCACGTTAGGGAACAGTCTACAAAGCCATCCGACCAAAACCCTTTTCCAGCCAGCAACTGTTAGGGCCAGCACTCAAACAACTACTCAAACAACCACTCAGGCAACCCCTCTGAAAACGCAATCAAAACCCGATTTTAAAGTTCCGTCAAAGTTCAAGCAGATCGGCGAGAGATACTTCTACATTGAAAGTTATATAAAAAAAACTTGGACTGAAGCTGAAGCATCCTGTCGAGATATGGGCTGGTATTTAGCCTCCATTAAAGACGAATCGGAGTTACAGACCCTTGCAAAGCAACTTGAGAAATATTGTATATACTGGCTTGGCATCAACGATCGGGAGAAGAAAGGAGAGTACAGGTCAGTAGCCTCCGGGATGCGAGCAATGTATTTGAGGCGGGACTCAACACGTAACATTAGATATGCAAGCAATAGCCACTGCGTTCGACTAATGAATGGATATATGGAGGACCGCTCTTGTTATGAGCAACATTATTACATTTGTCAGAATAGTAACGAAATATAAATATAATAAATATAAATATAAAAAACCACTGGAATAAAATCTCGCTTTTTAAACGCTTGCTTATTGTTGAGAATACCAAAAGTCACACTTATACATATACACATGGTGTGTGTGTGGGAAGGGGATGAACAATGAAGATCTCAGAGAGAGGCAAAGCCCTCTCCTCTCTTTGTTCTCTCCCTCTCTTTCAAAGAACGTTTTTTGTTTCCTTTTGTGTGCACATGCGTACCCTTGCCACTTACTTGAAGACAACGAGAGCGTGCGGTTGTGAAATAAAAATTAACTAAAAAGACAATTAAAGTGTTTTACTATTTGGCAAATCGGGCTGGTGTGTTCCTGGAGTTTGTATATACATTGATTATATATATTCAATAGGTTATGGGCCCAGTCACAATTTGCAGCTAAGTGCTATAGAAAAATGCTTTAATTGTTACCGAATAATAAAAGTGAAATAAAAAAAAAGTGAAACAAATTAAAACTTAAATCAAGTCTAAACAAAATAATTACTATTGAAATTTGTGCTTATAAGTGAACAACGTACATATACATATATGTATAACGACGCACCAAATTGGCGCACATTTTTCATTTTTCAGTGCGAGTGTTAGAGCAGACCAGCAACAAAAAAAAATTCTGAGAAGCGCATAGCAACCGAAAAGAAGAACAGTTATTCTCGGAAGATGGAAAAGGGAAAGAGAAATATAACACCTTTTAACGGGGAAAAGTATTCCATATGGAAATTTAGAGTCAGGGCTTTGTTAGAGGAAAACGATTTGATAAAAGTAATTGATGAGGAACCAAGTGATAAGGAAAGTGAGGAAGTGAAGCGAGCAGAGAGAAATGCAAAGAGTCTTATAATTGAATACTTGAGTGATTTTTTTTTAGTGTTTGCCAACAATGGGAACTCGGCTAAGGAAATTTTTAAAAATTTGGATACTATTTACGAGCGTAAAAGTCTGGCATCTCAACTTTCATTACGCAAACAACTATTGTCTTTAAAATTGAAGGGTGATACTCCGCTAGTAAACCACTTTCGTTTATTTGATGATTTGGTTACTGAGTTAGTTGCGGCGGGAGCCAAGATAGATGAAATGGACAAAGTGTCCCATTTGCTTCTAACACTTCCAACTAGCTATGATGGGGTAATAACAGCGATAGAAACTCTATCTGAGAGCAATTTAACATTAGCCTTTGTAAGGACTCGGCTTCTAGATCACGAAATTAAACTAAAAGGTGCTGGCAAGGACACAAGTGCAAAAGTGTTGCAGGCTATAGGCAATCGAGAGCCTAGGGATAACACATACAAAAACAAAATAACAAAATTTGTGAAGAAACAATTTCAGAATAAGTCTAAGCCTAAGTAGAAGTGTTTTCATTGCGGCAAATTAGGCCATATAAAGAAAGACTGTTTCTCCTTAAAAAGGCAGGCAGGTGGCAACCAGAATGTTCATGTCCAGAGTAATGCTAGAGAGAGACAGGCTCAGATGGCAACAGCAACGCAGCCAGAACGCTCGTTTGCATTTATGATGAAATTAGCTAATTCCAGTGAAAAGATAGATGGCGTAGATTTTATATTAGATTCAGGGGCGTCAGATCACATAGTAAACGACATAGCTCTGTTTTCCGAGTATGAGAATATAAATCCAAGTGTGGCGATTGAGATTGCAAAGCGTGGAGAATTTGTGTATGCTACTGCGAAAGGACTAGTTAGCCTTAACAGTTCTGGAAAAAAACATTACATTACAAAACGTGCTGTACTGCAAGGAAATCCCGCACAATTTACTATCCGTGAAGAAGATGCTAGATGCTGGAATGTCCGTCGAATTCAATCCGGATGGAATAAAAGTAATCAAAAATGGTAACTTGGCATTTGAAGGGATATGTAAATATAATATACCGATTGTGAAATTTTATTTAAATAGTAAAGTATATACATCCAAAATTTTAAATGATGCAGAATATCGCTTGTGGCATGAAAGGTTAGGTCATATTAGTGTAGGAAAATTCTTAGAAATTAAACGAAACAGCTTGTTTGAAGATATTGAACTTATAAAAAACGTACAGCTAAATAGAAATGAATTATGTGAGGCATGTATTAACGGAAAACAATCTAGGCTAAAATTTGAAAAATCTAAAAACAAAGAAAATATTGACCGCCCATTGTTCGTAGTTCATTCTGGTGTATGTGGTCCGATTACGCCCTCAACTATTGATAATAAAAACTACTATGTAGTATTTATTGATCAGTTTACACATTACTGTGTGACATATCTAATAACTTATAAATCAGACATGTTTTTTGTATTCAAAGACTTTGTGGCAAAAAGTGAGGCTCATTTCAACTTAAAAATGGTAAATCTATATATTGATAATGGCAGGGAATACCTCTCTAATGAAATGCGTGAATTTTGTGTCGAAAAAGGTATCAGCTATCACTTAACGGTTCCTCATACCCCACAATTGAATGGTGTTGCAGAGCGGATGATTAGGACAATCACCGAAAAAGCTCGCTCTATGATTAACTGTACTAAACTTAATAAAAGTTTTTGGGGTGAAGCTGTTTTAACAGCAACTTATTTAGTTAATAGGTCCCCAAGTAGAGCTTTGGGAAATATAAGAAAAACACCATATGAGATGTGGCATAAAAAGAAGCCAATATTAAAATATTTAAAAATATTTGGATCGACTGTATACGCACTAAATAAAGTGCATAAGCGAAAATTTGATGACAAATCGATCAAGACTATACTCGTCGGGTATGAGCCAAATGGCTATAAATTGTGGAATGAGGAATCGAGAAAATTTGTGATAGCTAGAGATGTAGTGGTGGACGAAAAAAGCATAAAATCTATGACTTTAAATGAAAATGACTCTGTGGTAAAACATAATGATGTTAGCAGAAGTCATGATTCTCAAATTGGAGAGAATGAAGAGTTAGTTTTTCCATCACAGGAAATGAATGAATCAATGGATTCAAAGTCTGGTGAAAACTCAAATGAAAATTCCACTTGTCTCGAGAATACCGATCCAGTAGTTGGAACTGGTGATAATATACAAGAAAATGAAAATCAACAAGTCAGACGCAGTGAG